ATGAGTTACTTTTAGAGTTAAGGATCTAAAAAGCACTATTGTTGCAGATGCCTGTACTGCCATGGAGGCTGCTATTACTGCTTGTAAACAAATGGGCATGGCTCGAGCTATGGTGTCCAACTGTGAGGAGTAAAATGCCACTGGTCTATTTTTTTCCCCCATGTAGTTGAGTGAGTACTGACGTCATAAATCCATTTTTACAATCTGCTGTCTGAACAAACGGTTTTGCATAATCTGGTTATTTTTTGTAAAGAACTTTGAATTGCCTTGTGTTGAAAAGTGATATATAAATAAACTTGCCTTGCCTTGCCTTGCCTATACCCAAGGCCTCTAGTTTGAAACCACAAACCATTTAAAAGTACTCTAGATAAGTTTACCTGTGTCTTTCTAGGACTTTTTTGGTATCCTTCCGCGAACCAAGGGGTTGAAACCAAAACGGTGCCTGTATTGACTTTCTCTCCTGTGTCGGTAGTTCAAGGATCCGTCACTCCTCTCCTCTCCAGCGTAACCTGGCCCCCCTATTTACCAAATTGTTTCTTTGTAAAGGAAACAAGGTAGGGGTATTTTTTAAGAGTCTCTCGACTCCCTGTGCACAGTGTCAGGCTCGTTTGCCCGGAGAAAAAAGGAGATCTTGGATCCGGCTCGAAGGAACAATATGTTAGAAAAATATCACTTGACACCAGGTTGAGAATCAATGATCAGGTAACTAATTTATTCTTGCAAGAAGGAGCAGAGTTAAATCACATACAAAGGATATGGGTTAACTCACACACATGGGGTATGTTGCTCAAAGGAACAGCAAAAAACATCAGGCTTATATAGTCCAAAACACAGGAGATATAACCCTGTCTCCTAAAAATTACGTTCCCACAGAACAAAACTGCATTCTCAATTACGTTTAGCAAGAAACGTATTTTCTCCCACGTTACGTTTCTTATGAACGTATCTTAAATACGTTTATTTTCGACATATCTTTGCCATTTATTGTCTTGCTTATAATAATGATAATAGTCATTTATAAATATCATTTTAGAGCACACATTTGAAATCAGTAGGCGAGGCTGTAATTTCGCCAGCTGTTACTCTCATGAGCGAGGCAGAAAATAATAGTTTTATAATGCCAAAAAGCTGCTCTGTCGTTTATTGCACCTCAAACATTAAAACAAATCCAGTTACGTGTTTCTGTACTTCCTCCAAGAAGAAAGGACAGTAACAGAAGATCTCTGTGACGCCAGATGTGGTGTTGTTAATGCGATATGATATCCGAAAAACATTTCAGTTTAGGATGGCCGAAGACACTACACTACCCATAATCCCCAGCTATTGTTTGGGACAACAGTCCCGTTGACAAACCCCGTGATTAATCTTCAAGCTCTGGGAGTGGATGTTGGAGTGGCAGTGCGCCAAGGTTACGCCGAGCGTCAAGCTCTTTGAAATGGAACGAAACCACGGCAGACTATTCAAAACTGGACTCGAACGCCCCCCGAGAACTACACATGCTGGCTATTGTGTTTCGCAACATGTTCTCTATGGCACGTCTCTACTGGGAATTGTAGTTTTAAAAGACGTTTTCGTTTTTCCAAAAATTAGAAGTTGACAGTGACAGTATTGAACTGTGTACAGCCCTGGAGGTTTAGGCGATAGGAAACACATTGTTGTGTACACATTTAATAATGTAATTACTACATGGGTGAAAATCGCTTGTATCCATAATGGGCAGCATTAATATATATTCTACTCCACTACAATTCAGAGGTTAACCTGGTATTTTTACTCCACTACATTTACTTTAGTAACTCTGCAGATTCTGATTAATGATGTGAAATATAAACAACCCTTAAAGCAGACTTTAGTTACACCTGAGTAAAATTCAGGGAAGGTGATTGTCAAGTGCCAACAATCAGGAGAGATATTTGATAGTTGGTGCTTGAGAAGACTAAACATGTATCTGCAGATCTCTATAAAGTATATTCATTACTCGTTATTCTCTACTAATAGTTAATTAAAAACTGTATATAATTGCTATTTTGCACATCCCTTTCAAGATTTCAAGATTTTCAAAGGTGTATTGACATATCATATACACAACTACGGTGTAGTTATGCAATGAATGAAAAACTTGGGTCACAGGTTCCTCAACAGTGCATTACAAGACATCTATCAATATGTGTGTATACCTCCACCATTAAACTGTCAAATTCTGCACATTTATTATACTATCTACATACATAAGAGTATAATTCATATGTATAATATCAGTTAAAATAAGTGCTTCAACATAGTTAACATTGCAGGAAAGCAATATATTAGACGTTAAGTACTTTGTCAGGCTTAATATTTATCTGTAGATAGATACCCCCAAAGCTTTTTTCTTATTTGAAAGAAGACCTTAACCTAAAGTATTCTTTAATGTGTTAATAAAGGTTAATTAGTTTGTCTGTTTTGCACATCCTCATATTAATATCTTTGTACATCCTGCACTAAACTGTTTTATTGTAGAGATCACTTGCAGTATCTTCTTGATTTTTTTATATTCTATACTTCTATCATTGACCTTCTACTTTCCCCCTATGAAAGTATGTACTCTTAATAGTTTTTTCATCAAATAACATTATTCAACAAAAATAACATTATTCAACAAAAATAATTCAATAACGTGCTTTAACCACTAGGCGGTGCACACAAGGTACACACAGCATACTAATAATAACTTTGTATTATTAGTGTAGGACACTTGTGTATGTACAACATCTGAAGATGTGTAGTTTTATTTATGTTTTTACATAATTTTACAGGATATTGCTATACTATTTCTCATGCTTTACTTCTACACATTAATATCTGATTTGTAAAACATCACAGACAGAAAGCCATATCCGTCATTTAATGGTAAGCTATTGAAATTGTGATTCCATAGATGTGTCTCCCATTACCCAAAACCCCTGACTATTCTCTCAACTCAGTATTTACATTCTTATATTCAAAGAAAATCAGTAATATCTTTAAAAACTACAAGTCCTTTTCTATCAGCTGTGCACCGTTATGGTGTAAATGTAACCTATTATCTACCAATTGGATCAAATATAAAAGTCAGCCGAATTAGTATTGATACTGCAAGGAGATGTATTTTGTGAAAAGAAATGCAAGGTGTTGTTTAATTGTTGATATATTTATGATCCACGTCACATATTCAGTTTCGGCGGCAGTTCTCCTGTTTGTCTAGAAGTCTTCACATCAGGGCTCTATAAATAGAGAACTACAGCAGATGTGTAATATTTAATGCAGCCGAACCGTGTATTACAATGCCGTTAAGTGATGACTTCCAAAGAGAAAAGCAAGAACACTCGAAATAAAGTATTATTATTATTTTATTTTTTCGGATATCATATCGCATTAACATCATATCCCAACATGCATTGCGGCTAAACATCCAATCAACGAGCTTCAAGCTGAGGATCTTGGGTAATCTGTTCAGTGGGTTTGTGTGTATCCTGTGGAGTCTATTTGTATATAACATTACAAGACTGATTCTTATTATTACATGATATGCTTATTATGCTCATGAGATTGCTATGACTATAGAATAAATAGACACAATCACTAATCCCAGGTTCTGATGGGTTAGATACCAATGAGGGGAATAGTCAGAAGAAAGTTTTAGCTTGCAATAGAAAGTAGCAGAAGCCAGATGCAGGCACTGTAGGAACAATGAGTTATTGAGGCTATGGCCTTGGCCGCCTGGGTTAACTCCGTGCCCACGCATAGCTGGGAATCAGTATAACCAAGATTCCACTTTTCTGTAGAAGCTTCCTCAAAAAAAATTACGTATGATGGTGCCAGAGTAGGGAGGGACTTCCACAGGCCGGCCGAATGCTGATTGGAGGATCGTGTTGCCAAGAGACTCTATCTGAGTCTCCGCACCAACCAAAGAGAACCAAGTCTAAACCGTGGTATCTCTTCAGCTAGTCTTGACCAATCATAAATGTACGGGCAACGCCCTGTGTAATAAAATGTATTGTCGCACAAGGTTCGAGGCTCTTGACGGATTTGGTGGTTACAGATTACAGCTTTGCTGCCTGTGATTCCCAAAGACGTGATGAGTCCTTGGCCAAGTGAATATATATTTTGCTCTCTTTACAATAAATAGTTAAACTTAGAAGTTGTCTGTCTTTTCTGGAATTCTGAACCCAACAATCCTCAAAATGTCCCTTATAGGCCTACGTCTGTTTCACGCATGCTAAAAAGCCCAAGATTATAGAATTAAACGAATAAATAAAAACAAGGATAATTGTGTGTTATTGTTGAGTAAATAAGGAAAAAAAGATTTTCAAAAATACAGATTTCAGTATTTTGAGGCTCTAAGCCCCATTTATTTTCCTCACAGACGGGAAAAAAAGTCCGACATTATACGATTTAAAATAAAAACATAAAACACTGGCATGTAATTTACATTAGAATAAATAGAATGGTTTTGAATAATAGATGATAGTAAAATCTACGTCACTTTACAGCCCCGCCCACTTTTGGGGAAACCAACGCTGTCATTTGAACGGCGATCAAGCCTGAAGCCACAGAGATCTTCTGTTACTGTCCTTTCTTCTTAGAGGAAGTACAGAAACACGTAACTCTGGATTTGTTTTAACCTGTTAAACCCCGAGCCTGTTTTTCAGGTTTCAGGCTCGAAAATGACATTCCCAGAACAAATGACTATAACTTCACTTCTAAAAGGTTTATATGAATAATTGTTGTTATCAAAGCAAGGTTACATCTGTGAGTTGGATGTAGAAGTGTCAGAATCAATATAGATTTTTCTGTGTCAGAGTAAATTCAGATGGAACATAGCAAAAAAATGTAAATTCCTGTCTCCGCCTAAAGAAAACCCATTACTTATAGTGAAGACCAACCTTGAATGCACACAAACATTATGTAACAACCAATTATACTGCAGATCTTGTCCCTCCCTTGTCCATCCTCCACGCCTCCAAAGCCTTACCTCTTCATCCAAACACCCACATAGCAAACAAGTTAGAGTTGGACTTCAGAAGACTTGATTAACGTCATGGGAATATTAGATATATTTCTCCAGGCCTGGAGCACTAGCTCCCTGTTGATGGCTCTAGTTGTCCTGATGTGCTTCTACATATTATTTTCTTCCAGCTTCAGCTCCCAGGATGAAGGAAAGGAACCACCAGGTCCAAAACCACTCCCCTTCCTTGGGAACCTGCTGCAGCTTGACCTGAGGAGACCCTACCACTCATTAATGGAGGTGAAGCAGTGCCGGAAGACAAGTTATTGTAGGGTAGTCTGTTTTACAGCTATCTTATCTTGTGTGCTTTTTATTGTGCACGTTTTATATAAAATACATATCATGACCTTATTCTGTTCTTAGCTTTCCAGAAAATATGGATCAGTGTTTACCATCTATATGGGACCAAAAAAAGTGGTGGTCCTGGCAGGTTACAAGACGGTGAAGGAGGCACTTGTTAACCATGCTCAAGAGTTTGGAGACAGAGACCCATTTCTAATTTTTGAGGAATATAATCAAGGGCATGGTGAGGAAAACATTTATAATTTAATTAAACCTACATCCTTCAGTTTTTTATTCAACATATTTTTCTGAAACACTTTAACTCAGGCATTACATGGGCCAATGGTGAATCATGGAAAGAGATGAGACGCTTTACCTTGACTAACCTCAGAGACTTTGGAATGGGAAAGAAGGCCTGTGAGGACAAAATCATTGAGGAATGTAACCAGCTTATTGGAGTGCTAAAGCAATTCAAAGGTAAAGGTCTTATTATTAAAATGTAATATCTGATCAACTTTTTCTGGGAAAATAGATATGACTTTAATATGTGTTCCTGTTTCCCTGTCACAGGAGAAGCTTTTGATACGACCACACCAATATTTTGTGCAGTCTGTAACATTATTTGCTCGATGGTCTATGGCAGGGGTACTCAAATACAAATCTTAAAGGTCCAAAATAAATATTTCAATAAGACAAAGGTCCGTTTATTACGGTCATTCAAACTTTTAAACAATTGCAACAAGATTCTTAACACGAGGTTGCAAAAACAAAAATAATCTGTATGCAGCAGTTTTCATTGTTATTGTGTCTGTGCTTGACCCCTCAGAGTCGCAGTGTAAGAGCTGCACAGTTATGAATAAAGGCAGCTGCACCCTCTTTCATTCAGCGTTCCCATTAGTGCTTTATAAATGTCTTGCCCCCTTGTGTGTCCACTGAGGTTCGTCAGGCCCAACACATCTTCAACAAACTCCCCCTTTGCCTCATCATAAAAACTCACAAACATCAGCAACTGAGCATTGTCAGTGGTGTCAGTGGACTCACCCACAGCTAAGGAAATGCACTGTGCATTTTTTATTCCATCACAAAGCTGATTAATCAAATCACCAGCCAGTATGTTCTTCTGGTTGCTGTGGAATCTGAGAGGGGGATTTGCTTGATTTGACCTGTTATTTCCTCTTTTTGTTTGCCTTCAACATGGTCTCCATCACTTCAGTCATGCATTCTTTTATACTCAGTTATGATCCAGTGGAAAGTCCTTACCTACTGGCCTAGTTCAATCAAAGTGGTTACTTTTTTTTGGCTGGGCAGTGTAGTTTTACACACCGTCTGATTTGACTTTCTCAGGACTTAAAACAGTTTTTTGGGGGCAGACCCCCTCAAAGAAAAAAATATATTTACACACGTAAGGTCATCATCTTAATAGTTGTGTATGCTCATCCGTGAGCAGAGCATCAAGTTGGCATGTCTATTACAGCTGAATGCGGCGATTACCATGTTGTTCAGCAAAACGCCTCACAAACGTATTAAGATCAACAGCTTTAGTGCGTTTTGATTCAATGCTGAGTACAGCCAAACTGACACAGTCTCTTCTCTGTCATTGTAGACCGCAAATACCCTCATTCCTTCAGTGCTTGGGTCCGAATGCTTCTCGTTTTGCGCCGTCCAGTTCAAAATGAAATCGCCGCCAATCGTATATCCACGCTCGCGCCAGGACCGGGGGAGGGGTTACATGACGTGCATCTTGTGCTGCATTCACTTGCACTCGGACATTAGAGACTTTCTCTCATAAATGTCCGATGAGCCACAACTTTTCTTTCAAAACAAAGCTGCCAACTGGGGTGGCAGCTGGGGTGGCAAGGCCTATTTTTAGGGTGTCAGTTGCCACCCCGGTAGGTGAAACTAGGCTACTAGCTACAGTACAGATGGAACTAGATGAGCTGTTAACTCTCGCTCTGAATTTTTTTTTTTTAAATTCTCGCTCTGACTTAGACAGGTTGAAAGAGACACACACATGTTTCCCACCCGCATTCCGCGAAGACCCGCCCTACTGTGCCTCTGATTCGTAGATTGTTTGGGGGAAAAAAACGCTGACTGGATGCTGAATGTGATTGGACCAAAGCGTTGACACACACAGGTGGAACACAGTGGAACAGTCAGACATGCAGAGCGCTGTTTGCAGTGGACATAAAGGAGAATTTTGACTCGTTGCGAATGCGTTGTGGCGATGTCTCACATATAATACAGAAAGATAATACATATGAAAAGTATAATTTGCTCAGAGTCCGGAGATAGTGGTGTTTCGGTCCGGATCCGGAGCGGAGTCCGTAGTTTGAGGATGCCTGCTCTAGAGGAACGTAGACTTCTACAGATGGATTTGAGTCCTCCAAATTATGCAACCTTGTACGTCACTCTATGGCATCAGATTTCAATATGATGATCCAGAGTTTAGGTCTCTGCTGGAGGATATGAGCAGACGTGGTCGACTTTTGGGCACCATTTCAATCCAGGTATGATTATATTTCCCGAAGACCTTGAATGTGAGTATAGTGTGAGTATATGAATAGCAAACAAATTATAATTACATAATTAAACTTGACAAGTTTATTAAAAAAGAACATTTACCGTTTATTGTCTGCTATCGGGGGTGGGGCAGGAACAGTTTATAATAGACCTGTATATCTTTAACATATAACCAATGTGTTTGTGTTTTTATTGTTCACAGAGGCACAAAAGTGTCAATCAGAAATTGTCTGCAAGAGCAAAAGGTTCTTCATTGATGTAACGACTTAATTTTAGATGCATTTCATCTTCACTGGGGGAGCAAGCCCCCTCTGTAGTCGCTGAAATCAAGAAGGAAAAACCTTGCTTTTTGATAATTACATTTTTCAATGTAAATGAAATACCATTGAACTTAAGCTAGTCTTCAATCTCTATCCGCTGAGTATTTGTCAATCTTAAATCTTTCTTAGGTGCTGTCTGAGGTTAGGGCCCCTCACGTAAGGTAATTAATCTAATACAGCCCACTGTTTTTGGCAGAGGTACAATCAGAGACAACTTCCAGCTGTAAGAGATTGCTTTTGGAAAGGAGATTGTTACAATTTATATTTCTATTCTTTGGCAGGTGTACAACATGTTCCCAAGGTTCTTCAAATGGATTGGGAACAGGAAGCTTTTCTTCAGATTGGGTGTTGCCAGTAGAAAACAGAACCTAAAGATTATCTGTCATTTGAAAGAGACCCACATACCACAGATGTGCAGAGGATTTGTGGACGCCTTTCTGCTCAGGAAGCAACATCTTGAGGTTGGGAAACATATATCAAAATAGATATGTTGGTCAAAGTAGATGGGGATATTAGGAGCTTGTGAAAATATTTTTGCTGAATGTACACTAGCTGGAAAGAAAAGTATTACAGCAGAATGCCAGTATTGGTCATGTATTTGCTTTTGTTTGTTGGAGTGGTTAAGAACAAGATGAGTGACATTGTGTCAGGGATGAGCGAAGCAGGCAGGACCCAAACGCAGATTTCTCAGAAAAAACACCTTTATTCCAAGGCAAAATGAAACCAAACAGAACTCTTCCCCGTGAACAACGTCAAACTACAACAAGGAACTCACAAAGACTAACAGAAAACACAGAACCTAAATGCACACAGGACTAATCAAACAAACAAGAGACAGGTGAGGAAGTAGGAGGGAGGAGAAAACACAGGGGCACCAGGTGAACACAATCGGGTAATCAGGGAGGGAAAACAGACAGAAAGCAACAGGCAAAAATAAGACAGAAAAAGACAAGACAAAACACAACACAGACAGATTGTGACACATTGGTCAACTAAAGAATAAAAACATCAGGATTAGGGTTAGGCAGTGGTTTTTCTGTGGCCACCGACGGAGCCCAACATTGAAAAAGCCAGATTTGTTGACATTGCATTGACCATTATACCTTCATTTTCAACAGCTTATATTCATCTAGTAAAAAAAAATATAGAAGAATCACTTTACTTTTCATAATGGGCAATGGATATCCAAAGTTGCAAATTGGTTCAAAACTGACGGTTAACATACTGTACTGTACATTTATGACAGTAATTGCAAAATTGATTAACTGCAAAGAAATACATATTTGTGATCAGAATTGTTTGAATAAAAGCAGTGATATGTGTTTACTTGAAGACATCTGGGATTACCAACAGTCACTTTCACGATGACAACCTTATGGCAACAGTCTTGAATCTCTTTGCTGCTGGCACTGACACAACATCAAATACACTGAGATGGGCACTTCTGCTTGTGACCAAGTATCCAGAAATACAAGGTAAGAAGCTTAATATATCCACATCCTTCAGACCAAGCAAAAAAACATGAAGTTCAAGCCGAATTGTCATCATAAAAATAGAAGCTCTTCATTATTTAGACCAGGTCCAAGAGGAGCTGAGCAGAGTGATAGGACCTCGTCAAGTACAAATTCAGGACAGAAAGAACCTGCACTTCGTCAATGCTGTCCTCCATGAGATACAGAGATTGGCTAACATTGCCCCAATATCGGTTCCTCGCAAAACTAGCCAAGATGTGACCTTTGAAGGTCACTTCATTAAGAAGGTACAACTGAATTAAACAAACACCTAATTTTCCTTTATACTAATCTTCATGTCTTAAAATGAATGTTATATGCAGGAAATGTTGTTTTTGCTTTAAGACATTTTAAATGTATCACGTCATATAAAAACATTTTCAACTCTGCATACAGGGGACCACAGTGTTTCCTTTGTTGACGTCTGTCCTGTATGATGAGAGTGAATGGGAGAACCCACACAGCTTTTATCCTGCTCACTTCCTTGACAAAGATGGACGGTTTGTGAAGCGAGATGCCTTCATGCCTTTCTCTGCAGGTTTGTGAGCTTAGGCAACACTTCTTGTTCACTTTGTAGTAACTGGCAGACTAACCTTCACACTCTCTAACAGGTCTCAGAGCTTGTCCCGGAGAAAGTTTGGCCAAAATGGAGCTCTTCCTCTTTTTCACCAGCCTCCTGCAGTACTTTAGATTCACCCCTGCTCCAGGAGTTTCAGAGGACTTACTCGATCTGACTCCATGCCTGCACCTAACCCTCGACCCAGTACCGCATAAACTGTGTGCTGCACCTCGAATATGAGGAGTTTACCAGGAGGGACTAAGTTCAACACAACTGAAGTATTTGGGATGATGAATATTGATTGGATGTCAGAAGTGCTTATGTGCAAGCAATCAAAAATGATTATATAGCTATTACTGGCACAATCATTCTAAATATATTACATAATGTCTTTCTTGTAACTTGAAATGTAAAATACGAATGAATGTAACTCTTTTATCTTGAAGTTTTACATTTTCCAAGTTGAGTAACACAGCAATAAAGTTATAAACTTTAAGGAACTCTCCTCATCAAAAACGCTTCAAAATCAATACGACAAATCTTCCTGCAGCAAACCTATCCACCAAAGATAATGTGATTTTTAAAGGGATATACAATTAAAACCAGTCTGACCAAAGTAGAGGGTTCCCCAATGTCTTCATATGTCACTGTACATTTATCGTCCTCTCCAACATTATGTATCTGTGAAACAAAATTGAACAAATGTGTCCACCTATCGTCAAAATAAAACATTTCATAATGTATTTTTTTATTTTAAACATTACAATATCGCAAATAAAATCATTTATTTCTCGCTTTTGTTCCCTGAAATAAAAAACTTTAACTTTAAGTAACTGGAATGATTCTGACTAGTTCTTATCCAAATGTTGACAAGACAACCATTGCTAGAGACACAAATAAACAATAATTAACCTCCACAAACCTGGAACAAAACTTAATCTTGTTAATATATATAACATTTTAGCTGTAGCTTTCCTGGTCTATACAATCCCTATTGGCTACAGAGGTTTCCACTAGGTGCAATATTATGTATTTGTAATATTTAGCAACCAAACAAAACATACCTTGAGGTGTTGTTGAAATGACACTGATAAAGACAATATTTTCAACATAATAACATACAGTATTAACATTGCCATGTCCATGTTCTGCAGGTGTTGCCACCAACATCCTTCCCTGTTTCATTTCATTTAATTTCAAACCTTTATTTAGACAGATAGGTCCCTTGAGATCATGCCATGGATCTCTTTTACAAGGGAGACCTGCATCAATTTAGTTCCACATGAAACATAAAAACAACATAAAAACAAACAATAGAGGACATCAAATGTACATATTCACCAACACTTACAAACACCCATAGTGTCAGAAAGCATCTCGTGCAGACGTGCCTGAAAAACATTCAGAGAAATAAAATGGTTCAATTTCAATTTGGACTGTAGGCTGTTCCAAGCAAGTGGAGCTGCGCACATAAAAGCAAGACAATAGCTGCCCGCAACTTTCTGCTTTACCAGAGAACAGATGTAATACATCAAGCTATGTTGGGCAAACGCCCAACATAGCTTTATAAATAAAAGTGTACCAGTGACTGAGCCTCCGTACAGAGAGTGATGGTAAACCTGCCTTGGTATACAGTGTACAGTGATGTGTAAGCGCTTTACAATTTGTGACAAATCTCAGAGCGCTGTGATATGCAGCATCCAATTTGCTCAGGTAATTGGCAGGTGCATTCATATACAACAAATCACCATAGTCCAGCACAGGTCAAAAGGTCACAGAGCCTTTTCCTGGCCTCAAGCGCGAAACAGGACTTGTTTCTGAAAAAGAACCCTAGCCTAACCCTCAGTTTTTTAAGCAGGTTATTGACATGAAGTTTAAAAGAGAGACAATCATCAAGTCAGATACCAAGGTATTTGTAACAGGCAACAACTTCAAGTTTTGTTCCTTGCGTAGTTACAATATCTAAAACAGGCTCTTGTGTCTTTTTAGCTTTTGAAAAGAGCATTACCTTGGTTTTATCCACATTTAAAAGAAGCTTTAATTCAGAGAGCTGAGTCTGAATAGTGTTAAAAACAGCCTGTAATTTAACAACAGCCTCTTTAATGGAGGGACCACAATACATCACAGTATCATCCACATAAAAATGTAAAGTAGCTTCATCCACATTATCACCTACGCTGTTAATATATATGGAGAATAAAAGTGGTCCTAAAAAAGAACCTTGTGGTACACCATTAGAAATGGTCACCGCAATCACACCCGTAGAAGCAGAAACAGGCAGGAGCAGGCCTTCACACCGGAACCAAGACAGGTGGATGGCACCAGAGCAGGCCTCCGATCCAGCAGAACACGGGCCCTCCTCCGTGACAATCCTCCTCCTCTCCCAGCACACGACAAAAATATGAAATGGAAAGACAAATTGAAGCAAACCAGTCCAAAATCTCCCAGATCTTTTGTCTTTGTATCAAAAGGCCGTGTTTCTGAGTATTCCCAGCATGAAGACGATACCTGACTGTGTGTATCCAGCCTCAAGTCACGTCAGTCAACGAATGTCTGAAACTTCTATGTGTGGTGTGTAACCTTTGTTTTAAGCAGCAAACATATCGCTGTCTGTTTGATTTAGCTTGTAGTCATCACCAATTCTTATTTTTTAAGTACATAAAATGCATTACTTCTGTTTCTGACAAAACAACCATCAGATGAGTCTGGGTGAAAGTTGAGAGAGAGCAAGTTATAATAAAACCTTAAATAACATTTGATATGGTGATCTTTGCCACCAATCTATTACAAGTAATTTGAGATAAGTTATACATGTGACCCAGTTAAGTTGATCATTTACGAGGGTTCAAAATATCTTGGTTGCAAGGTCATGTTTGGCCAGCTGGTGAGAAATTAGCTGTCTCGTCTACCCCTCTCTATGAAAGTCTGCTTTTCAAATATAGCAGTTTAGATCAACTCTCACTTTAACTTGAACTAGTCTTTCCTTTATTACATGACATTACATGTCACTTGTTAGACGCTTTTATCCAAAGCGACTTACATACTCAATACTGTGGACAATCCCCACAGGAGCAATTTGGGGTGAAGTGTATCAGGGACACAACGACATGCTGACTGCAGTGGGGTTTGACCTGTGACCCCCTGATCCAAACACCAACACACAACCCACTGCACCACACGCCTCCCTTTATCTTGACCCTTGAAGTAACATAGTCAATAGTCACTGTGGTTATCAAAAATATGAGTTAATAACTACTTTAATTCTTAAAAGTTTAATTAATTGAAAGTTTCATGTAGTTTTTAGTAGTACAGTGTTATCATAATCATAGGCAATGCTCCAGCAACAGATCTTCTGATTGCAGAGCATAAGCTATGAGAGAAAAACAATGGTAGTAACGTTGGGTTACGTATTGTAACCCTTGTTATATTAACACAGGCGGAGCCCTCTACTGGACTCTATGGGTACTACCTTACCCTGCGAGCATTCTCCCACTGAGACTTCTATAGACGTAGCCGGCCTTGGGCGGGCCTACCTGAATGCGCGCGCATCACACCGTATAAAAGGAGTCCTCGTCTCCTGACTATCATCCTACACCTCTCTTCAGCGTGCGGAATAGGACAGACAGTGCCCTGAGTAGAGGGCTCCGACCTGTATTACTATAACAAGGGTTACAATACGTAACCCAACGTTATATCTCTCACAGGCTCCACCCTCTACTGGACTCTATGGGTACAGTGGGTGGAGCCCCGATGTATACGCGCACTGTCGTCCAACAACATTCCACCCTACTGCCCCTGACCGGCTTTTCTGGTCAGCAGCTGCTGCCCCACATTCTCCTTTAAGGCGAGACACCCCAGGTGAATAGGGCAATTTTTTTAACTTAAAGGTATCAGCTAGAAATTTCTCCAGTTAATTACTTACAATAAGGCAATTGTCTTTTGTATTACAAGTTTTCTGAAATAGCATGTTTAAATATGCAAATTATCCATTATCTCATTAAATATGCACATATTTTAACACATTTCAGGAATCGAAATCTGAACTTTGGATAAAGCCAGATTCAAAATTATTGTTTCATTTTGTAGTCATATTAGTATCTAAGGCTTTTACAGAAGGGATATTGGATATCTCTTTGTATCACTCCATAAATCAGAAAATACTGTCAACAGCCCTAAAATATCCATTTTCGCCATGTTTTTAGGTATACAATGTTGTATAATTCAGGCTATGAATTATATATGAACAAACCCTTCAGTAAAAGCCTTCATAATATTGATAGGAATATAACTGGAAGGTTTGGTGTATTTACGTGCTACTGAAGTGGACATTTCGAACTCAGAGTAGGAGAAAAAACTCATTTTGAGAAAACGACCTTTAAAGATTGCAGTGAGGCGCTAGCTAAACCCTCCTGTTCTTTGGATGACAGCTTGCGCATCGATGCACTCCGTGAAGGTATTTCATGTTCAGGGTCATTTTATTTGTTATAACCTTGCTTCGTGCAAGTGAAAATTGTTGTCGTCTTCTCTGTGAACGTTTTTTTCGCCGTTCTTTTGGCATTTTGAGATTTCAATTTCTAGCTGAAAGCTAACCAGGAAGTGTTTTAGCACACCACGTGACGCATCTGAACGAATCACGTTGTCAGAAATTGACACCAGCCAATGAGATTTCGTTTCTTGTTTTAAGAGCCCTTTGTGCTTTCACGATTGGTTGCTGATACAAAGGAAATTACCATATTTGGATCCGATGAGATTGTGTAGGAGAGACACAGCTTTCCAGCGATACCTCTGTTGACATGGTGCAAACAGCGGTCGCGGTACTTTATGTTACGTTAGAATGCTAACTTTTGGTGAATTTAGGAGAAATCTACAGACGCAAATAGACAAACTATAGTAAAATAAACACTTAAATGTGTATTTTGTATGTTTTCCTTCCAAAAGCCTGAAAGAAAACATGTTATGGAATCAAAATAGCACAAAATCTCAAAATTGACCAGTACTTGAAAAACGATGTTTTTGCCTGCCGTGTCTCGCCTTAACCCGGTTGTGACCGAGGAGAAATCTGGGATGTGGCTGACAGAGCACACCCTGCTGCGCTTACCTCGCAGAAAGTGTGCTCAAAAAACAGTGCCGGGGGACCCCCCCCCCGCCCATAGACGGATGGGGAGAGCCCCCTCGGCCCCGAATGGGCTTACTACACGCCTGCCTCCCTGAATCCCTAAGGATAACAGGGAGAGCGCCAGAGCCCATGCCCCACACTCAAACACTGACCCCGTGCAGAGTGTGTGGACTAAAGTGTGGAGGGCTACCCCCCTCCAGCCCTGTAAGGGCCCAACGCGCCCCTCGCCCATCCCGGGACCCTCAGAGGGCCCGAGAACAGCGAAGGCGCATTACGTCCGGGGAGGGGGTCAGATGCCAACTGACCCACAACCCCCCCCCCCCCCCCCCCCCCCTACCAGTCCTGTGTTGCCCCCGCAAGCACAGATGAGGAGAAAGAGCCAGACATGTCCAAGAGATAAAACCTTATGAAGGGGCCTGGCGTCGACCAAGACGCCGCTGTGCATATATCCTCCACACTCACACCGTTGAATAAGGCTGTTGACACAGCTACAGCCCGTGTGGAGTGCACACGAGCCCCCGTGGGGCAGGCTCTCCCTGCCTGTCCGTAGGCATGTGCAATGCACTGCAGAGCCAGTCTGCCAGGCGTTTCTTGGACAGAGCTTTCCCGATCACCCCGCCCCCGAAGCACACGAACAGCTGTTCGGTGCG